GATTACCATAAATACATCGCAAGTAACGGGGGCTCATGTAATGCCTATACGGCTGAGACTCATACCAACTATCACTTCGACATATCCACGGACTTCTTGGCCGGTGCTCTCGACAGGTATGTCCACATCATTCATATGATTTTGATTATAGAAAGTTAAATAAAATTTTCAAATGTATGGTCAGATTCGCGCAGTTCTTCATTGAGCCGCTGTTCACAGAGAGTGCGACGGAAAGGGAGTTAAATGCCGTTAACTCGGAGTACGAGAGGAATATACCCGGAGATGGCTGGAGAAATCATCAGTTAGAAAAATCTCTGTCCGATCCTAACCATGATTACAGCAAATTTTCAATTGGTATTGTATTTTTAATTCCTTACCGTCATAATTAATGCAAACGCCTACAGTATTATGGAAAACGGATTCAAAATAATATTTTTGTCATTTAATTCAGGAAATAACGAGTCGTTGAAAGAGATTCCTTACGCCAAAGGCATTGATGTCCGCCAGGAGTTGCTGTCGTTTCACGAGCGCTGGTATTCTGCAAATATCATGTCTTTAGTCGTTTTGGGCAAAGGTTTGCCTCAAAACTGTTGACCACTTAATACATACTAATAGTTATTATTGTTATGAATACACAGAAAGTATACAAGAATTACAAGAATTAGTGATTCCTATGTTCTCGGGAATCAAGAATAACAGTGCAATCGCTCCCAAATGGACAACAAATCCATTCACCACTGAATGCCTACAAAAGCAATGCTTTATTGTGCCGAATATGGATTACAGGAGTCTTACGATTAAAATCCCAGTCCCCGATATGACCGCCCATTACAAGTATAATATAATTGTTATTTAAATTATTACAATTTATTACAATTAAATTAAAATTAATTCATTAAACAGATTCAAACCATACCGAATGATTGGACACATTATCGGACACGAGGGGCCGGGTAGTTTGCTATCGGAGCTAAAAGCCCGCAATTTGTGTACCAGACTAACAGCCGGGGCATCGACTGATGGGCACCGGGGGTTCGCATTCACCAGAATTAATGTCGATCTAACTGAACAGGCTATGGATAGCATCGATGATATCATTTCATTGGTCTTCCAATACATTAATTTATTAAAGGTATGCTTCAGTTTATTGTATACAAGAATATTCTGTTAGTTGTATTAATAAATTGTATTTTTATTGGTTGTGTTCAGAGAGAGGGTCCAAAACAATGGATTTTCGATGAATTGAAACAAATGCAAGAAATTAGGTTCAGGTTTAAGGAAAAGGAGAGACCCATGGGTTATGTGATCGGCCTTTCCCGTGATTTACATGTATTCACTATTACTATATTATTCATAGTTTTACTTGTGTTTTAACATCTATTCTCATTTAGGACTACCCTTTTGATGAGTGTCTAAGTGCCGGATATTTGTTGGATGAGTTTAGACCCGATTTGATCACTGATTTACTCAATCACTTGACTCCGGATCGCATGCGAGTGACAGTTGTGTCCAAACAGTTCACCACAATTGCAGACCAGACAGAGAAGTGGTTCTCAACTCAATACACACAACAAGATATCCTCCCAGAAAAGATCCAGAAGTGGCTAAACATTGGATTCAATGACAACTTAGCACTTCCACCACCGAATGACTTCATTCCCTATGATTTCTCTCTTAAAACAATCGATGATAACGTGAAACAAATGCCACAAATGATTAGAAACACAGAGTTTTCTCGTGTTTGGCATTTGCAGGACAATCAATACCGCACTCCAAAGGCTTACTATAAATTCAAACTAACCAAGTACAGTATACAAATATACGTATAATTTTGAGCAAGTTTATTTCTAAATTTTGTATTTCATGCTCTATTTAGTCCACTCGTATACGATAGCCCTATGCACTCAAACTGCAGCTCTTTATTCACAAAATTATTTATGGACTCTATTAATGAATATTCATATTCAGCTGAGTTAGCAGGGTTATACTACAACTTCTATTACACTGAAACTGGGCTTAATGTCAGTATACAATTTTATTTGTAATATAACATTATAAGTATAGTAAATATAATGACTACAAATTATTTATAATTAGCTAACATTTGGCGGATATAACGACAAACTAAACTCATTGATGACCACTGTTTTGGATAAATTAATTGAATTCAAAGTAAACCCCAAAAAGTTTGAAGTGTTTAAAGATAAACAGATTCGCGGTCTCAATAGTTATCAAACGCATAATATACCTTATTTACTCGGCTATTATACGGGTCTGAATACAATTGACCGGATGTGGACTTTTGAAGAGCTGATAGAAACGGCAAATGTTATTACAGTGGACGACGTATCAGCACTGGTATCCCAACTACTGTCCCGTTTCCATATCGAGGCCTTAATCCATGGAAACATCGACTCGAGTGAAGCCATAGATGTTTGCGATGTGTTTGAGACGCGATTCAAGTCAGCCCTCAATACCAAACCCATACCACTGTCGCAACACTTCCGCAATCGTGTCGTCCAATTGCCCGACGGATCCGACAATTACTTTGAAGCCAAGAATGGCATCCATAAGACAAATGCCATTCAACTCTACTTTCAAATCGGAGTCTCGGATACAATAATAAACGCAACGATAGGACTATTGCAGCAAATACTAAGTGAACCCTTTTTTGACAGTTTAAGGACTAAACTACAGTTGGGTTACGTTGTGTGGGCCTCCTATAGGATGACTCATAGTGTTCGGGGTCAGTATTATCTCTGAGGGGTCATTCAATAATGGGGTACAAAAATATTTGCAAATTATTGACTAACTCGAATCGTAGTGAACCTATAAATGTATTAGTTGTGTATTAGCATTTTTTAACCTCCCTCATTTCATACGTACAAACTTATTGCCCCAAAGCTTAATCTTTATTGTATTAACAATATTTATAGGAATTTAAATGATATTAACTTTTTAGGCATGACTTTCACCATTGAATCCGATTATAAACCCAATGAATTGAATGAGAGAATCGAGGCTTTCATACAATGGGTTCACAAATATATTGAAGACATGAGTGATAAGGACTTTGAGACACAGAAACAGTCAGTCATTACACGAAGACTCGAGAAACCGAAACAATTGTCAGAATATTCTCAGAGACTTTGGTCTGAGATATCGTCCAAAGATTATGACTTCAATAGGGATGAGATTGAAGCGAAAGCCATCAAAGAGTTGACAAAACAGGATATCATTGCCTTCTTTGAGGTCATTATTATTACTTTTAATTTTATTTTAATTATGAATTAAATTTTTAATGAATTGATGTGTAAAACAGAGACATCTCTCCCACACTTCAACCAATCGTAAGAAACTGACGGTCAGTATAATCAGTGAAAACCCAATCAATGAAAAGCATTTGAATGAAGTGAATGCGGATCTAATGCCGGCCCCAAAACTACCGGTATGTTTGTGGTCATTGACTAACCATTACTTAAATCTAATCTAATTTTGTCACTCATTTCAGGAATCCATAAGAATTGAAAACATAACACAATTTAAGACACATTTGGGTCTCTATTCTGTTCGCAAACCTGTGGTCGATGTCTATGCTATTGTCTAAACCTGGATATATTTAGTTAGAAATTATTATATTTTTATATTGACATAACTTTTATATAGTATATAATATACTATATACTGTATATTAGTTGTTTATTCTGTGTAAACAAATGTATCTGCAAGGTATTTATTATCAGTCTATAAAAACTGTTATAAAATAATATTAAACAATGAAAAACATACTTAACGTGAATTTACTATTAATATTCAATAAGTTAAGTTATATTGAAATTCATTAAGCGCTATAGGGGGTCCGACATCGAGCCCACCGCCACGTCCAGTGCGGCCGCAGACTTATCTGCCTCCACATCACTGATTAGTAGGACTTTTAGGCCATTCCTGAGTACCAGTCCTTTGTATTCACGTTTATCTCCGACTGATTTAATGATGTTTTCATAGCTTTGTGTAATTAATACAGAATTTAACTCATTTTCACTTAAAACAGTCATAACTTATGTGTTAATATTAAACAATATCGTCGACACTATTATTAATTTTTGATCAAAGTTTTAAGAAAATTATTTATAAGTCTTTTTATATACTAATTATTTATTATAGTTTAGTTCATTTATTTTAATATTAATAATAATTTTATTAAACCCTTTGAATACTGTTGCTAACAAACACTTATTTATATAATAAGTGCAAAACTACTTATCATGTTAAAACATAACAGTACAGTATTGCAATGGGAAATGATATTTTGATTGTGATTATTAGATTCGTAAGACTTTTTTCTTATCGTAGTTGAGGGTTATCAAGCATATTTCTGCAATAAATTAATTTGTTTTTATTTATAAAGCAAAATACTTAATATTTATAAAAATGTTATCTCTTGGCTAAATAAACATTAAATAAAGTATTATATAATATGTTTTTATTTTGTAATGATTTTATAAATTATTTTTGTGTATTCTATTTTAAATAAATAAAACTTATGAAGACAACACTCTTATTGTGTAATGTTTTCAGTTCAGTACAAAAGTTTGTTGATTAAAATATACATAAAAAATTATTTCTAAGAATTATAGACTATTTCAATTGTAGTATTGTATTATTTTTCTCATCGACATCTAGTCTGAGAATAATTTATTATCAAGGGCAATCTATTTTACATATTGCTTGTTTAGTTTGCAACACATTTATGTGATTTATCGAGGCTATATAGTACAATATATACATTTATAAATAGTCTCAATTGACATGACATGCCTTTCCATGGCCTGCGCTCTGAGATCTCATCCCATTCTTGAATTATGATTCAAGTAATAGTAGCCCTAATACAAGCAGTGCTATGGAAGGTCTAAGATGTGCCTTCGAGCCTACGGCTATGTCCAGTGCGGCCGCAGACTTGTCTGCCTCCACATCACTGATTAATAGGACTTTTAGACCATTCCTGAGTACCAGTCCTTTGTATTCACGTTTATCTCCAACAGATTTAATGATGTTTTCATAGCTTTCTGCTATGAACTCAGAATTGAACTCATTTTCATTCAAAACAGTCATAATTTTTGAATTAATTTTAAACAATATCGTTGACACCTTTGATTAATTTCTGAAAGGTGTTAAAATAGGTGAAAGGAAAATGATTTATAAGTCAATTTGGTTGTTAGCTGTTTACTATAGGTAATATTTATTTTAAAATGAATAATAATTTTATGAAACTTATTTGAATACTGTTGCTAACAAACACTTATTTATATAATAAGAGCAAAAACTACAAAATTGGTTCTTATCACGTGTTAACTCAGTGTTTGCCAAACTTGATTTACAATCAATAATTGGCAAATTTGTATACATAACTAAATGTGGAAATAGTTTTTTGGGCAAAATAGTCAATTCAGTTATACTCTTCAATTCTTTTCAACATTTAAAGAAAACTATTTTGTTTGTCATAAAATTCAAGTAGTGCCATAATGCTGGTATACCTTACACGGCATACTGTAATATGTTATAACTTATAAGTGTTTACACGATTTATTGCAGAGAAATAATGTATAAAGTTATTATATAAGGACAGGTGGAAGCTATACACCTGTTTATACACTTTGTATTAAAAAGTTTGTATACAGTTTGGTAGGTCTATGGTACCGATCGGTTG